CATAATGATTCGTCATCCATGTGAAGTCCTTCATTAAGGCGTTTACGGCGATAGCGCATTTTTTGTGGTATGTTAGTAGGGCAAGAAAGTCGGATGCGGTGATGAGGTTGATCTCCGCAAATAACGCAGGGATTAAGGGATGCCGTAAGTTGTGTCTGGCAGCGGTGATGGTTTCATGCTTGAGCCGTGCGTTCCTCGCTATGGCGAAGGAGCGAAGGGGGTCTGTCTCAAGAACCTTGGGATTCGCTAGAGCCTGACATACTTTTCTCTCGATCAGGTCTAGTGAATACTTCCTCGCAGCTGCGAGCACAGAAAGAACCTCTGTGAGGTTGTCAAGGCAAGGATCTTCCGCCAGCGTCGATGGATAGCAAAACCTGAGAAACAAATCTAGAGTTTTGCTGTCCTCAGACACAGCGATGACTGCTATGCCATCCTTCATCTCTTGATCAGAAGTCCCATCGGATGCCTGAGGGAGGCCAAATAATGTTTCGAAGAACGGAGAGGCAAGGGAGAGGAAGAGCATGAAAACTCGAAACTCCACGCCATCAGCTGATCGTAAGATAACGTCTGCTTTAGCGTGATCGAACGGGGCTGAAGCACAAGTTTGCGTTGGCAATTCCATTGGCTATTATGATCTTTGTGGTGTCATGAATATGGCCGATCGTAGCTAGTGAGCTGAACTTACCAGTTGAAACTTGAGATTCGTGGGGTGCTTGTCGGATAAAGAGGCTCTGATAAAGTCAAGAGACTCGAACTGGTCATGCGCTGGCAGGTTGCCTGTTAGGGCGCAGACCACCGCAGAAGTTCGGCATTTATTACATACATCGTGTCTTCTTTGACCTCACGGCCCTTTGGTCCGTTGGTGTTCAGATCAACCTGGATATTTGCAAAGCGAGATGGTACGCGATGATGATCAAGAAGATACGCAGGAAGATAAGCCATGTGGTAATATTGAAACTGGGGCTGTGGCAAGTGACAATCTAACCAGTGTCTAGTGCAACAGCCACTTTGTCGATCTGGAAGGCTATAGCTCAATCTTTTGCGTGATATAAGCATCTAGCACGATGTCCTATTATTTCTCCCTTCGATCAGCAACCTATAAATTGTTCTAGTAGAGTTAGGGTTCAACAGGACGACTTACCTGCGAGAACATTCCTTCACTGCTCAAGTTCAATCATGAGATCTTGAGAAGTGGTCGACGGTGTTGTGGTGTCGCACATTCTTTCGATGTAAGTGCGGAACCTGGTCTCTCGTAGTCAGGTCTTGAAAGAAGGAAGTCTAAACGTTCTGTCTTTTCAATCCTGAACCTGGAAACAAAAAAAAATCATGAACATGGCTAACAGAGACGCTTTGGTTTGTTTGTGAAGTCGACGTTAATGTAGATCTTACAGAACACCTTGAGGCTTGTCTGAGGCCATAGATTACTGGGTTCTGTGTTTCAAGCAATTCAGCTAGATCGTTACAGCCAAGACTCGTGCACCGAAAACATGGATTCATAGTGACAAAATCTAGACGGCCAGAAGCAGAAAGTTAAGAGAATAAGTAGCAGGCCTTGCCAACGACGATGATGCTACAACTGATATCACTATCAAGAACCCATGTTTATGACACAAGAGAAAAGGTTGTGACAGACATGTAAGTAGAAATACCTGGCTGGCTGGTTCCCCAGGTATTCGAATGCAACTCTTCGACAGTCTGGACCGAGTCGATAGGGACAGGAGGTGAGTGCTGCTCACTCCTGCTGATGGACATGGTGCCGTTGTTTTTCTATGGGACTATATACTGCCTTGCTCACGGTGGCAGTCAGAAGTCAGCTCGAGCTATCGAGAAGTATCAGAATCACTTCGTGATCTAAAGCAAGACACGCACCGGAGCGATGGCATCTCCGACTTTCAGAACAAAAATGCCACTAAACTTCGCCATGTTCGCTGCCACTTAGCCCAAGCAAACCGGACAGCGTGAAGTTCCGACCATTTATCGTCTAGTCCGTACAGTGCCGCCGGACATGGTAGCTTTTCAATAATTTACACAGATTTTGACCACCACACAACTGCAGTGGCGTCTCAAGGCAAAAATCTCTGGTCGGTGCCATTCCGCAGTTACACTACCTCCGGGTATCATGAACTTCATACATCTAACCAAATATCCAATTGCTGTCGGTCACTGGGACTGTCATGATGGTCAGGATGTCTGGTCATCCGTCACAAGTTGTGCGCAAATGATTGTACGACGATACTTGGTGTGTCAGAAGGGCAAGAAGGTTGGATGCGGTAGAAAGATCGATTTCTGCGAACCACGTGAGAATTTAGGGTCTTGTAAGTCGTTTCTGGTAGCAAGGATAGTTTCAGGTTTGGGCCGTGCTTGTCTGGCGATTGCGAAGTATCGAACCGACTTGGTCTGGAGAAACGTCGAAGCCATAAGAGCCTGGCATGCCTTTCTCGCCTAGGTATAGCACAAATTTCCTCGCAATTGCGATCACAGGTAGGGTGTCCGTCAGGTTGTCAAGAAAGAGGATCCTCTAAGTGTCGATGGACAGCAAAACCTGAGAAATAAATCTGAAGTTTGCTGTCCTCATATATGGGGATGACTGCGAAGCCATCCCTCGTTTCTTGGTCGGAAATACCACCATTAGGGCCCTGAGGAAGGGAGGATAATGACTCGAATAATGGAGAGGCAAGGGAGAGGAAGAGCGTGAATACTCAAAACTCAACGCCATCAGTGGAAAGCAAAATGATGTCTGCCTCAGCGTAATCGAAGGGAGCTGAGGATTCGTAATTTGGTTCTGCTCAGGCTGTCGTTGAACCATCAGCATGGTAGTACATTGTAGCTAGTGGCTCGAACTCACCAATTAAAATGGATGCTCGTGAAAAAATTAATAGGAGTACCCGGAAGACTGTAGCACTGTTTACGCACCGCGACGGGTTGGATGTTGGTTGGGTCATACATAGCAAAGTTAGAAGACCCGGAAGCGAAACAAAGGCGCGTAACGCGTCAGTAACAGTCACGTCCACTGTGACCTCAGACCCTTCAACCTGCACTACATAGAACGTGTCTTACCCAGGCTGCCAATAATTCTAAATTCTAGGTGGTAAACATATGCGTATGCTATTATCAAACTCATCATCACCTCTAAAGAGTTGAATACTTTTTCTCGCCAACTGACATCAACTCGACGATCGTCACACTGTTGCCTGAACTTAGTACATTGTACACGGTGTCCGTTCGGTAGTCGATTTTCTGATATGTGTGCGGAAATGCATGCTCATAATCTTTAAAGGTCACCTTTTAGTTCTGGAAGATGCCAGATGAGCTGTTGGTGGAATGCTCTATCCACCTTGATGGTGTTCCCCTGAAAGATATACGGTCATTCAAGTGCGGTGAGTCATCCGTGCAAATCATGACTATGTCTAACTCATTTATGTTATCCTTGATTGTATACAGGACACGGCTTCTGCAACACATGCATCGAAAACCTTTTCCAAGCCGGACCTCCGCCTTTCAAATGTCCCACTTGTCGCAAGCGTATCCAGCGCAAGGATGCATTTCAAATATTCTTAAACCCTCACCAATCGCTCACACAACCTAGCACACAATCTCCCCGTCGAGATTCGGGTGTCGATATTGATTTTACACTTTCCGACGACCCGGATTCGACTATTGAGCACGTCTCTAGCCTCCGCAAGAAAACGCGTGAAAATGCAGCAGAGCTACAACGCTTGAATAAGCGTTTGGAACAGTTGCGACGGAATTTGTTGAGCGCCAACAAGGAACGCGATGAGCTGGACGATCAGCATCAGGAGCTGCAAAGGGAGCACGACCTTCTCCAGGCGCAGCATGCTGACCTCAAAAGTACATGCACGACTCATGAGAACGAGCGCCGCAAAGTCGAGCGCTCAATTGCTGTGCTGCAAAAGAAATGTGCAGTCGCTGAGAGTACCGAGCAGACATGGAGGGAAAATTGTAAGACTGCACAAAGAGATGCGCGAAATGCACGAAAGGAGAAAGAAGAACTAGACGAAGGATTGAAAGAGTTGGCGGAGAGGGCAAGAGAGTTTGAGCATCGTGCGCACAGAAACAAAGTGGCGGTAAGCATATACGTGCATTCCAGCAAGTATTGTTGATTTACCTCGCACTGGCAGTACGACAAATACAAAGGAAAATACGAGGCTCTGAAGGAAGAGAACGCGCGTCTTCAAAAAATCCAACAAACTGTAGAGATTCCAGAAGAACAATCTCTCTTGGTTGTCGATAGAAACGCCCCTGACAGGCTTGAGCGTGCAGTTGACGAAGACTGGTTGGACGATGTGTGTGAGGTTCGAGGGGACAATCTCGATGATATTGATAGCGATTATGGAAACGAGTCGAGCAAGGAGAATGAAGACGAAGGACCCAGTCGTGGTGCTACATGGCTACGGGGCAAACGAGCAACGGAGAGCGTGGACGACCGCGAACGATCACTTCCTGAAGATCGCCCGTATCGCCCGTACGGGGTACGATTACACTCTCCCATCAATTACACCTCTGATTGGAACCTCAAAAGAGACAGCACTGGGCAGAAAGCAGCTAAGACGAATAAGCGGAAGAACGAGGGGGACGCCATTATGGGAGCGCGACCGTCCAAGGTAGTGAAAATCACATTGCAACCTACAAGACCAACGAAGGGGAAGGGAAGGGCTACTGAAGGAAGAGGTGATGCGAGACTGCTCCCATCTCCCATGCAGATGCCAGGTTCTCCGCTGAGAAAAGCCCCTGCATCTAAGTCCAAGACTGACTTTCCAATAAAGCTGGATCCAATGGGTCGTTTGATGGGCACTGCGGTACTGGGGTCAAGACGTAAATTTGACAAGAATTCATAAGTTCATCAAGGACGCTCGGACTGCGATATAGATGAACGTGTACTATCATCACTGTTGTTTATGTAAATGTTTGTTCATACCCTGCTTTGCGGTTAGACTACCATATATTTATAAGTAGTACAACGATATACATTATCAGATTACAAGTCTCTGTTCTAAAAATCATCCTACAAAGAACCTCACACCTTCGCCATCAGCAACCCCGATGATTTGTGCTCGATTGGAGCGTGAGAGAATGGTAATAGCCCGCCGCAGGAGTGGTATAGGAATACCAGAAAGAGGTGATTGGATGGGAGGGTCTGAGATCTCATAAAAAGTGAGGATGGTATTGAGCTGGCCAGTCGCCGTTGCCTGTATGCGACGATAAATCACTTAACTTGAGATTGAAGAAGGTACTAACCCACGAATGGAGAACATCCGCCCATTCTTCCGGAAGACGCCAGTAAAGCAGCACTGCACGGGTCTGCTTAGACGGCTCGTAGACGGCGAGGTTCTTTGCGACCATGATAGCCATCAACGACGAGAGATACGGCGGTAGGATTCGTCCTGAAACATATGTCACGACAAGTCTTCGCAAAAATAAGAGAAACAGTTGAAATAGAACGCACGGTTTATCCTCTCATTACGAAGGATCTCATCCCATTCGCCGCCCGGGACCTCTGCATCCTCAACCCGCAGCACGAAGAGACGTTTGTGTCTCGCGTATGCCAGTATGAGGCGCATCCATTTCTCTGTGAGATGTGCGTGAGTGCTTTGGTTTGGTTGCTCACTGTCTGGTGGGTGTGAATATCAATTCAGGATTTAAGGCGGAATGCGTACGTAAAGAAGGGGGGTGCTGAGTGGATCGACGGTAGCAGAAATCCTAGTTAGTAGGTCAGTATTTAGTATTTGAGAAGCATGCAACATTATCAATTGTTGGGGAATGCAGAATTACCTGACGGGGTAGTATGGGTAGAAAGAGCCATGCATCAGATGCATCAAGCTCATCGACTTTACTGCAAAGTGCAGAGAAGTCCAAATAAGGAAACTCCTGGAAGCCTTTGCACAACAGACCAAAACAACGCTTACCCTCTGAACTTTGCTCTCATGCACTGGTCTAGGCCGTCTGGCACAATTGAGGCTACGGCGAATTCTAATCTCAATACAACCATTGCGTGACGCGTCCAGCTCTATGCCTCTAAACAGTTATAATAACCGTGGATCGTTGATAATACACCTATCAAACCGATATGTAATGTATATCGATTTTCCTCACAGCGCAACTGTTGACTGACGGTCACCTAGCACAGAGAATGCCGCCCTCATCTTACATCATAATTGGGACACCACATGCCATGTACCCCTTCATTGCATTGCCAGTTGGCTCGTAGAATCTCCATGTAAGCGCTAATGTTGAACCATAGTTTCCATCTCGAAAGTATTGCGGCATGCTTCGAGTGGTTACATTATATCATCCCCTCTAATTACCACACTAAATTAAGGTATTCCCTGGGTTACGACACAGCGGATAGCCAAGGTAAGTGTCTTTGCATGTGTACAAATAAAAAATGCGACTGACCCTTTAAGTTATAATGAATCAACTTCCCGCTCGTGTTTGAGTTCTCTTGCTGTTGTCTTAAGCAAGTACCTCTGCTGAAGTTCATGGTTGTGATTGAGTATGCCGTGACAATACTCCGCGAGAATGCCGTTATTACCACCTTGGAATCTTATCGGAGTTGTACTGTTGCACGTACTCTAGTGAAGAAGTACATTGATTGTCACATTCTAGGTATATCAAAGGTCATCGTCCTGATATCTTTATATTCTAACGATGCCTTTTGCATGTAGTCCTTCATATCACAGTCTTCAATCTCGAGTTTGATGGATTGGACCGACCAGCCGTGTGGTCTGTTCATAGAGGTGGACAAGGCCGGCATCGAGAACCACCTGTGGTATTGGCATGGTGTTAACATGAAGAAAGCCACTTCCTGAAAATTTGAGGGTTGCTCTGACCCAGAGGCGATGAAGTATTTGGGCCGTCACATCGAAGGCGTCCACTTCGCTACGTCCTACACATGCCCCTATTGCAAAAAGCTGTGTTCGAGGACTGATTCTTTAGCTTGGCATCTGAAGGGGTGCAGATCATTGCTTGCTAGCAAGGCCCACGCTGAGCATGGAGAGTACCCCTTATGTCTCCAAGAGATGAACAAATTGGTCCATGGGTATATTGTTCCTGCCCAGAATGCGACCTATTAGTAGGAATATGTACGTTTCCCCCTTGCCCTGTTTCTGTTACTGCTGCTAACTTTTTATTTCCATACTCTATCTCCCTCTTGATGCACTGCTATATACGATCAACGATATTCGTTTTATTCTATCATCGACAGTATTGACTTGGTTTCCTCTCTTCGTTCTTGTTTAGCGCATCATCTATATGATTGTTGGGTTATCTTTATTCTACGCTGGACGTGATTATTGTACCTCATCATGTGGCTCGTTATATCTTCTATGTGGTTATTGGATCTTATGAGATGGAAATTGGAACTAGCTATGTCGTATCTCAACATGCATCGTATTTGTCATGGATAGAATATCACATGTTGTGTTGAATCCGCGTATTCCCTGACATAGTACTGCCCAACATGCTGTAAATCTGCTGATCTCACTATCCTCCTTGAGATCTGAGATGTCAAGCGCATGTACACACTCGCTTGTGTACCAGACGCATTCACTTGGTGAAATCGGGGGATTGGAACATCAAACGAGGATAGAGAAACCGATCAAGTATTCATTTCCGTATCAGATATCATATCAGCCTAACATATGCAACTGCGTACGTTTGAGCGACGTAACCTCATTCATGTCATCAAGTTATGCACGTCGCAGTACATCAGAACGAGGTCCGAGTCGCAACGTTAACGAAAGCGACAATTGCCCCGGCAGTGGGCACATACTTGTATAAATCCCGAATTCGGGTAGCCAGGGGTGATATGACGGCTAGCAACCGCGGAAGATTTCAAATATCCTAGGTGCTGGTTAACCTTGTCCCGCTCATTCTCGTCCGCGTGTCTGAGTAACTTGTTTGACGCAAGGGAGCATAGAGAAAATGATGATGATGCGAGCGACATCCTTTACGATAGAGAAGCCCACATTACATGTTTGCAGGGGGGTGACTCGGGTTCAGGATCGATATCGCACCATCGATGCGTCATTGCAGAGAGTCCAAGTGGAGAAAATAGCCGAAGCCCGTTGAATGATCCGTGGAATGTAAGTAATAATGGTAGGTGGATAAACTTGGTGATTTGTAGCGAATATGAAGCGAACTCCACATGGTTCGTTGTCAAGGTAGACGGGGTCATTTCAAATACGAGGCCCCAATGTTTGTAGCTGCGTGCGATTCGCTGTCAAACAGTTGCCTGAGTGCTCGTCATCGTCTGAATCAAAGGAGATGATAATGATGTATTCAAGGATGTGGCATGTGCCGATAGTGCACAAAAAAGCTGCTCAGGCATGACTTGTGCATGCATCTCGAACTGTTGTGGGGAGCGTGTTCACATAGAAATTGAGGATGGCGACATTGAAGAAAGGTGCGAATTTGAGTCACGTCCAGCTTCTGCTACCACACTCCAATTTGAGAGGTCGGAGAGGTGGTTCTATGCTTCCCATTATAACCCAGATGTCTTAGCTGCGTGTATGAACGGATAGTTTCAGCCAGAAGGAGCGACTCGTCCGCTGTGAGATCCCCAGCATCACCGATGGCTAAGGCCTCCAAAGAAGCAGAACGGGTCCCTATGGAGTAGATTGCTGATAGACAGCCAAAATATAGCGTATTGAACAGGAAGAGGTGCAGATATGTTATTGGGAGCCTCGACCTGCCATAATGACGGCTGCAAAATCGGAATATGCACGTCTCGGTGGGGAAGACTGTGAGCAGACGATATATCGATTGAGCAGAGGCGGATGGCATGATGTAAGGGATGACGGGCTTCGTGCTCAGATAATGGTTCGACGCCCTCAGATCGAAAGATCTGCATTTGAGTGCTCGGTGAGTTGATAGACTGAAGATCGTAATTAGGCACTGACCCTGTGCCACTACACAACCTAGCAATAGTTCTACCTCGTCGTGCGCCGAATCGTCGATGGAGTCTAGTTCCAGACTAAATGGAGTTACGGCTCGCCGGAGGCGACCCTATAAAAGTAAGTAAGAGAAGGAAGACCCATTTTCGCCTGAGTGGTGGGTGGAGGCTGTGCGCCGGAGCTCGGCGGGCATGGGTTCTACGGCGATGTCACCGAAGAGCTTCCATAGGTCGGAACATAAAGATGTGGGAGAGTTTATTTGATTGGAGGGAGTAGAGGAAGTACGATAGATTGCTAGGATGGTGGGCAGAGGCCGGCTCTGATGGTAAGATACAGCTCTGGGAGGACCGGGAAAGCTGCGGAGAGGCATTTCAGCTAGCGCCCGAAGCACTTGATGGTACGATCAAGAAAGGTGGACGAACTTACTACTAGTGCAGATACTTATACGTACTGATTATCAGCGTGGCAATCACAATCAGCCTAGAAGGTGTTCGGTGGTGATTAGTGTTTGGCTGCTAGCGTAGATTGGTTCTTGAGTGGATTTGCGGCGTCAATTGGGACTCATCGAGGCGTTCATGCTGTATCGCGAGAGGATTGAAATCATGAACATTTATGTAGCGAGTATATCCGTCAGGTCTCATGTGCAGGCGATGTTATTGACAACAATGCATACATATGACCTGACGAGTATACTAGGCTTGGAGGAGTAAATGATTTCGGGGCCGAGTATGTTGCGGGATATGGAGGGCAGGGTGTTTGATCAATGTATGAGAAAAGCCGTTCGAGTAATATTTATGGATGAAAACATAGGATCACATGAGAGATGACAAATATAGATTTGTTCGTTGTATGAAAATTTGAAGCGGAGCAGAGAGCAATGCATCAAGGCCTGAAGATATGAAATCTGATGGAAATGATGTCGGACAAGAAACAGGTCATTTACAGTAAGTGAGACATACTACAATCATTGATAAATCTGAAGCGAGTGACGGCATGTGAGCACGCGGGGCTCCCTTGGGAACGTTAACACCGAGAGGATGAGTTACTAGTGATTCCTTGTCGTTAAACGTCAATTAGGCTGTAACGTCTGTTTTGACAAGGGTAGCTATGTTGTACCAGGACAAGTCTTATCAGTAGAATGAAATTAAAGTCACGAGTTTGGGCCCGCGGTAATTGCCGAGAGAAGGTGTACCTGACCGATCGGATCTGCACGTGTATTAGATCACGATCGGGGTGATTCATTTGTATCGCTTCGCCTTCAAGTTGCTTTCTTTTTGCTCCCACTACATTCAAACTTACTTCAGCTTACTTCATCCTTGTCCACGACCACGACCCCGACAACGAAGTCGAAGAAGACTACTATCACTACCACTACGACCAAGACGACAACAACAACGACGACATAGTACGATGAACGTGTCCGATCTACTCCAGGATTCACCTAGTCAGCACAGAAAACGACCAACGAGCACTGGCACTAGCTCTTCTTCACCCGTACCCCAACAAATTGTCAAGTCGAATTCAGTTTCACCCCAAACAAATGCAGCTCAGCCTCGTCCTACACTTCCACATCCAAATGCCCAGTACCCTGCACCGCCATCTTACCCAGGCTATTCACCTTCTTCCCCTTTCGTGCCACAACGTATCACACCCAGGCAACCCCCCGAACAACCAATGGCTAGTCTACAACACCCTCACCCTCATAATTCCTGGGGTCCTCGGTCATCTTCGGGGTCCTCCACCCTTCTATCTGCAACTACCAGAGCGCCATTACCCGTCGGTCCGTTCTTCTTTTCTTTTCATCCTCATGTAAACACTCATTTCCATTCCTTCAATGAAATCTATAGAAAGAAGTCCAGTAGTTCAACGACAAAACGTAATCAACCCTGTAACTACTGCTCCAGGTTCGTCTTTCTCCACACATATATCACAACCCTAACCCCCCGATAGCACCCTCTCATTCACCCCAAAACCAATCTCAACCCCCCAAACAATCACTCGAAAAACGTCCCCCTCCAAACTTGAACCCCAATCTCAATAATCCAAGTCCAAATCTAAACCCAAATCTCAACTTTCGTGACCGCGAGACTATGCGAGACCGTGATGGCCCTCTCCGCGACCTTACCCGTGAACAAGGTCTACACATCCGTGACCCTGTTTTGTTACCGAGGGATAGAGACCCTGCCTTGTTGCCCAGAGAGCGCGAACCTACCTTACTTCCCAGAGATCCAGGTCTATTACCGCGTGACAGAGACATCCGTGATCCCACTCTCCTTCCGAGAGAACGTGATGGCGCTAGAGAACGAGAACCAGGTTTACAGCGTGATGCCGTTCTACTCCCCAGAGAACGTGACACTCCTCTACTACCAAGAGAAAGAGACCCACGAGACCCATTGCTCACCAGAGACAGAGATCCGCATTTCCCACGCGAGCGAGACCCTCTCCTAGTGCGCGAGCCGCTCATACCTGGCAGAGAACCCCTTGCACGCGAAAGGGAAAGAGACCCCATTCTCCAACGCTATCGAGATGAGCGGGAGAGAGATATGGATGTGATACGTGCAGCTGCTCGAGAGAGGGAACATGAGATGGAGAGGCGGGAGATGGGCATGGAGAGAAGAGAGCCTTTGGGTTTGGATAGACGGGACCCACCTATGGACAGGCGTGACCCGCTCATGGACAGACGTGACTCGGCTATGGAAAGACGTGACCCCGTTATGGACAGACGTGACCCCGTTATGGACAGGCGTGACCCACCCATGGATAGGCGTGATCCAGCTATGGACAGACGTGATCCAGCTATAGACAGACGCGACCCACCCATGGACAGACGTGATCCACCCATGGACAGACGTGAGCCTCTCACCAAAGATAGACGCGACCCACACGCTCACCCTATGGAACGCTTAGACCGCCCTCGCCCTCCCTCCGAACGTGGTCCCGTCCCCGCAGGCCCCGGCGTCCTGCAGCTCCACCCTGGTCCTATCCTTCCCCATCCGCACACGCATGCGCCGCAGCCAGAGCGTGATAGGGAGAGTCAGAGGGAAAGAGAGCGCGAACGCGAAAGAGAACGCTCCCATGCTATCGCCCCCCCTCTAGACCGCGAGCGCGAGATGACGATCCACAGGGAACGAGAAGCGTTGCGTGAGAGAGCGGAGAGGGAGCTTTTGCAGCAACAGCAGCAGCAACGGGATCGTGACAGAGATCGAGAAAGGGAACGCCCAGGAGACATGCAGCGAGATAAACCTAACGTCGGGGACCGAGAGAGGGTAGGACCTAACCCTAACCCTGGGCCGGGCTCAGGACCCAGCAGCCATCGTGCATCTCCACTCTCCCGACCTCCCTACGTACCGGCGAACACCCACACCCACCCATCGCCTCACGCACATAATACTCACGGACACACACCGAGCCATGGGCATGTGCACATACCACCACCACATAATTCTCATATCCAGCAGGGTCGTGGGCGGATGTTACCTGGCCAAGGGCAGTTCCAGGCGTTGCCTCCTCCACATCCGCATCCGCATGAATGGGATAGGGACAGGGACAATAGGGATAGGGAACATACGCAAAGTCAGAGAGTGGACAGGGAGCGTGTGGATCTGAGGCTTCCTGGTCCTGAGAGAGAGAGGCACCGGGACAGAGATAGGGATAGGGAGCAGAGAGAACGCTTGCCTACTGATCAACGGTTGAGCGAACGTCCGGGTCCGGGGGAGATCCTACAGTTGAGAGATCCAGCGCTTTTGGTGAGGGATCGAGAGAACAGTAGTGTCGGTGTCGGTGGTGGGGGGAGGGAGCAGCGGGGTGAATTTGTGAGAGAGCGGGAGAGAGCGGGGGAGAGAGAACACGAGCAGAAGGTGTTGTCGGATCGAGAGAGGGAGCTTAGGGCTCTTGAACAGCCTGATCGACGAGTTGGACGTCGTACGCATTCACATTCGCAAGCTCCGACTCAGGTACACTCGCGGATGCCGTCTCCTATGGTAGAGGAGAGGGAGAGAGCGATGCTGGAACGCGAACGCGAGCGTGAGCACTTTGAGCGTGAGAGGATGGAAAGAGAGAGATTGGAGAGGGAGCACCTTGAGCGGGAGTACATGGAACGAGAGCGTGAGCGGGGGATGAATATGAGTATCGCCGAGCGGGAAAGGATGGAGCGCGAACATCTCGAACGTATGGAACGACAGCAGCATCTCGACGCCCTCGAGCGTGAGCGCTTTGACGCTCGTGAACGCGAACACGACCTCATTTCGCGCGAACACATCGAAGCTCGTGAGCGTGCGGACCGCTTAAATCTTGAGGCAATAGAGCGTGAACGCGCTGAACGTGAAGCCTTCGAGCGTCTTCCCACCCCGCAGGAGCTTGCCCTGCTTCTGCAATCCCGAATGGAGCGTCCGCATATCAGCCTTGGCTCATGGGTGCTCCCTGCATTGCCGTTCCCCTGGTTTTTTGGAGACCACATGCCCTGCATGAAGCAAGGAGATGCACAGGAGATCGGAAGAGATGGCTTGGTTGTCCCTCCAGAAGTACGTCTCACCGTCCTCATTCCGTCCTCTTTCCTCCCTGCCTCCAGGCCACACAAGCTGCGGTTATGGGGTGGAGGATTATTGCCCCCTCCGCCAATACAGTTCTGGCCAGTACATACGAACTTGAGCAACACAGCAGGAAACGGTTCTGGCCCATCTGGATCAAGTGCTACGTCTAACCCCTCAGGATCTGTCGTAAGGACCGCACCAAACCCTGCACCACCCACCTACCATCCAATGCACGCTCCCCGCCGACGCGTCTACACCGACGACTCAAACGTTCTCGCATGTGCCGTGCACGCTGGTGTTCTAACATGGAGTGCCGTCTCCCGCGCAAAAAAAGAAGGCAAAGACATCAAAATCGTGCTTGGAGTCGTGCCCACCGTATCAAGTTATGGAGGTAGCGTCGCGGGCGATGCAAACCACATAGATCCTCCTGTAGTTGCAGGTGTCGGACCAGCAAATGGCACGCCCTCGAACGGCATTACACCCGCTGTATCAGCATCGAACGGGATCACGCCTAGCACCTCACAATCTTCCGCTTCGCAGCCTACCGTATCGTCTCATGGTTCTGTGAGCAATGGTACTCGTGGTATTGCTGGAGCTACGGCGCTTGACGGGATGGGTTATGCAGGTGGTGTCTGGGCAAGTCGGTTCGTGGGTGGATGGGGGGAGGCGTTTTATGGGCACCCGAGTGCGGGGTATTGTGCTGCGAGCGTGAATGATGCTACGAGTGGTGATTCGAGACAGAGGAGCTTTGAAGAGGAAGCGGAGGATGATGGGAGGGGGGTCGTTAGTGCTGGCTGGGGGTGGGGGCATGATGGGAGTGCGATTGAGGTTGTGCATGTTGAGGTCGTTGAGGTGGGTGTTTTTTTTTCCTTTCCTCTCGTCTTTCTCTTTCGTACTATCTGTTTCTGGTACTGATTAGGATTATCTTACAGAAGGGCTCTGCGCGCGGTCCTGGGCTTGGGCGACGCAATAGGTCACAACGATTGCAAGAATATGCGTCGCGTCGTGCGGCTTTGGCCCTTGCTCCTGCAACATCGGCCTCGCCACCACCGTGCACACACTTGTTCGCTGACGTCACAAACGGCCGCAAGCGACGCTGGTTTACTCTCGACAATATCGACGTGAATGAGAAAATAAAAGTCGACCCCGAGAATCTAGAAGAGCTCCAGAAGATGCACGCGCGGACGCTGGTGTTTGGTGACTCGGGGACGGGTGCTGGGTGAGTTTCATTCTGTTTTTTGTGTACAGAGCGAGTGCTGACTGGATGTGTCTTTTAGATTCAAATACACTCCGATTCTCCTTGCGTGTGCGCTCTTCCCGCATCTAGCAGATCCTGCTGTACGTGTATCTTTGCCTCGAAAGCGGCGGAAGATCCTGCATGCGCAGGACCCACATGCAGGGGCAGGGGACGTGCGAATGGACATAGACGGTGTCGGGGAAGAGACTGGAGACGAAGGACGTGCGGTGGTTCTCGAGAGTGACAGCGAGACGTACCTTGTTGCTCCTGGGCCTAGCCCGAGTGAAGGATTCGTGCTGTCTATCCTTCTGGCCACACCTACAAACGGGAAGATTATGGACGCTGTTGAGGAACCTGCGAACGATAAGAACACAGTAACAACAGCTTCTGCGCCCAAGATAACACCTCCCGCTTCGAGTGCTAGTGAAAACCCGACCACTACTTCCGATGTGCCAAAAGATGACCAAAAAACACCAGTCCCAGTCCCAGATCCACCTCTGCCTCAGCCTATATCTACTTCTCCGCCTTCAGAAAAGACGGTGCCTCAGAGTAGTCGTACGAAGGTCGTCCGAAGCAACCTCCAGGATACGGATTTCAAGTTTGAGCAGGATTGTGTTGTTGTGTGTGGGCAGGGTGAGGATATGAGGGTGAGAGTGGTGCGGTGGAGATGGTATTTATAATAATACTTAGAGGATTTTTTTGCGCTTATTATTAGGCTTGGAATTAATATTGTTTTGGCGCTGCTCTGAGGTGGGCTGATTCCGAAGTTGCCAATTCATGGTACTAATCCGATTCACTTGCTCATAACTTGACTTTGCGATCTTCACGTATCTGCACACGGAGCGGTTGTTTTCGTTGATGGTCAAGGAGGGGGTTGATCCGATTGGTGGCCCACGCGGCCACGGACGCCACTCCACTTTGGATCAGGTGAAACCTGCTCTGTGTCCCATCAATCTATCAATAGAGAAGAGCTTGGCATCACTTCAAGATGAGCCCATATCTGCAACCCATTGACTGATGTCAGGACAGAACTAATGCCTCATATAGATTCCACTGGTTGCGTACAAGTTCGGTAGATAGCCGTGCTGTTCCAGAAAATGCGCAGCAAGGGGTCGCAATGACTCGGAAGACGGCAGCACCAACGATTCGCAAAGAAATCGGACTTGCCAATACAATATCATCGAACGCGCTGCGTGAACTGAGTCATACTCCTCGCTCTGGGCTGGTCCCAGTCTCTCCTGCAACACAAGCACCAATCAGATCCATCATGACATAGTAGAAGTCCAGACTGAAGAAACCACTATCAAGATCCTATCACGAACTAGCTAAGAACGATGTGCTCTTGAATTCCAAAACTCCGGGAAACTGAACTCAGGCTCGATCACCTCGAGATCGCCATCGTCACATTCGATACTCTCCTTGACGCATGTGGACATCTTCTCGTTAAAACAGGTACTGAATGTACGGACGGTGTGCTGAGCTTTCGAGGTGACTTGGCTGGCAATCTTTTTGACTAGCCTGAATGAGTTGTTTTGTTGAGGCCGCTGCGTGATGGATGATCTTGCAACTAAGCAGTGGGGGCTCTGCAACTCGAAGTATTGAAGCTTTGAGAGTCGGACGCAAGTACTGGCACGCCAAGCTTTTATCTTGTGACCACCCCTTTTTTGGTTATTCCGCTGCCCTAATTTTAGATCGCACGCAGATTTATCATACTCGCCTTCAATCGGGGAAGCAGCTATCAATCCCGTTGTACAGTCCGCCACCCTGTAGTATGACACAAGGCGCCACTAAAATGCCCTTGAAAGGTCGTCCGTAAAATGGGGGATAAGTGCACCTCATTCAGTGCTTCTCATCTTAGATGAGATTATCTGGTTTGTTATACGTTCTTCGTATATATAGCGCCGCATTGCAGTTCTCACCACGATTCGGCCTGAACTACTCACCTGTCAATACTTGCCGTTTCGAACCGCCTGCTACCCGTGCATATCTGCATTAGAAGCACATAGAGCACTGCATTAACGAGTGTAAGTGCGTCAACGTCCTGGTCGAGGACAGCCGCTGGCGACTGTAATGGTGGGCGAAGAGCTGACACTTCTGTCTCCACAGTATCCGTCAGTCGCGCAATGAGCGGAACAAGAAGCTCGTTCTCAAGGAAATTGGCTGGCAAACTCGAACGCACGCACGGTGCGGAGCATACTCCTTGACAGAAAGGTCAAAGAGCCTGTCTTGATCACATTGACTAGTAGAACTTCAATACATCGGCAAAAGCTTCGGTGGAACGGAGTAAGCCATCTTTCCTAGGATCCATTAATAACACAGTAACGCTCGATGAGAGTGGTTGGATTTGTACCCGGAAAACTCCAATCGATGTTCTTGTTCTCGGGATCGTTGGCGCGGAGAATATATTTGATGGTAGCTGTTTTGAAGATCATCGTCAAGGGGGAGCCCCTCGAATTCAATTTCAATTTCATGTCTATGCCACAAGTCTCTTGTGCGAGATTCCTGGCGTGCCCATTTTCTTCGGTTTGGACTCTTGAGCACGCAGGGCAAGTCTGATGAAGAGGACCATGAACCAAAGTGCAGTCTTCGCGTCGGGTCGATTATGTGGGAGGAGCCTCGCTTCGTGACCATAGAACTTTGGGTTCGAAGAGAAGGAGAGAATGTTGGTGCGGAGACCTTCCTTTAGTACTTTGGCAACGTTCGGATGGCGCGCTTTGAGTAGCAACGTGGCGTGCTCAATCTGCTGAAATCAGCTACAACTATAAACTCAAACCTTTGGATACCCATGCTGATTCCACTACCGCCTGGGTCCCGGGAGATATGGAACAAACAGTGAAAGATGTATGTGAACCAAAAAAGGGAACCAAGAGACAGATGTATTTTACATAAGATCATTTGTAACAACTTGAAGAAGCAAGGAAGACGTAGTGACAGTGAACAGTGAAGCTATCGAAACGAAATAAACATCTACTGGACTGAAGGGCCATCATAAGGACGGAGAAAAAGCGCCGGCTTGACCCAGTCCACATTCGGAACGCGCGATTTCTCCCAGGAAGGTTGGCGAAACCAGATCTCTGCTGCGTTGGTCTCCCGACCACATCGTAAGTCTGGCAGCGAAGATGGAAATTCTTTGCGCTCAAGCGCTGCAATTCGTTTTTAGCATGATGTTCGCAGACGAATCGGATTTAACTCACCGCGAGAGTATGCGTCGGTGAATTCTGATGTGCCGGGTTTGACCACAAACGATCTATGACCTACGACTTCAGTGAACCCAAACCGCGATGACGGGTCGGGTTGCAGCAGCTACCGCGGTGAAGATGAGTGATGGTGCCAGAAAACGAACAAGGCAAAAGCTTACCCCAGAGATCAAATCCTCGAGATCTTCACGCAATTCTTCAAAGGCAGGGAACCGTTTGGATGGTCTGTCGCGACTGGAGCACCAAGAAACATAGGAAAATACGTCGTCCTTTGTCACAAAGAGTGACTGACGAGATGATGTCAGTAAGATAGCAGCGAAGGAAGACTCGAAACGTGCCTCGTGCTTCTTTGAAACGAGCTGGTAAATGATGCAGCCTAACGACCACCAGTCTGCGGGTGCTCCGTACTTCAAAGGACGGGGGTCGGATTTGTTGCGCAGGACCTCCGGTGCCATGGTGTGTGTCGTTCCCACCGGTTCCGAAGAATAATTCCCCTGTCGGTCCAAGGGTCCTTCGTCTTTGTTTACATAACTCACGCCAAAGTCGGTGATGCGCACGTTCTGTCGAACGTCGATCAGGATGTTTGTGGCTTTGATGTCCCGGTGGATGATCCCTATCTCGTGCAGAGCATTGATCCCGAGGGTCTTCAAAGTCGGAGAAGGCGTGAGACATGACATGTCGAAGACCAGGAAAGACGACCGCTTACCATTTGAGCAGCCCACCTGCGAGCATTGCGAACGCAGTACGTAGGATTATGTTGCAGATAATAATACAAGTCGCTCACCATCAGGTCCTAAAGACGTCCGATGGAGTCAGATGACTGAAACGGGTCGCAGGAGAGGAGGACGCACCATTACAAAACAGATCTTATCATTTGTCTGAAACGACATCTCAAGCCCCATGAGGAAATCAGCCGCGGGACACGGCAATGCGCATGAAAGACGCTTGTACGCTTCGAGTTCGTTCAGAAGAACATCTTTCTTGGATTTGCGCTCAAGATGGTGCTTTGGAAAGACCTTGAGACACAACAGGCGATTCGACGCTATGTCTTCAGCTCCAATCGCCACGCCGTACGCGCCCTCGCCCAATGTGCCCCAAACACGAAAGGGGCCATACGTGCATGACACCGGTGTAGTTCGGACTACCTCTGCTGGGCCGGAGTGCGTGAAGGTGAAAGCGTGAGCAGGTGCTGGAGGTCGGCTGGCTCCGAGGCAGAAGGGTATTGAAGATTGGGGAGCTCTGAGCAAGGATTCGCGATGCCAGCATCGACTACGGTGGATATTATGACGGGGGCGTTGGATGCAGCGCTGGAATGAGGTTCAGAAGAAGAAGATTGAGCGATCGACTTTTGAGCGACCATGCCTGACAGATAAGAATGAGGAGAAGGATATGGAAATGCCAAGGAGCAATTCGACGAGCGTATTTAAGAGCTCCTTGGTAGGACCACAACATGCTTTAAACAATGAGTTGTGGAGCGTCGATTTGTGAATTGTCTGAAAACACCCACAGGGTAATCATGGCGACTAGCCACTACGGGGGAGATAGTGGAGATGTGCGCTATGGAACAATCAAAACACGTTGCAACCACAGTTAAGCAGCAAGCGTCGGCGCACATTGCTACCAGCTACCGAGTGGTCAGCACCAAACATTCTATTCAAGGGCTAACCGCTGCAAGGCATGCTGTTACAAGTGCTTTACTTCTTCTGAACATTTATTTATCAGCGTCGCACGATAGACCACGAACGGGTATCTTCAGAAGAATCTGTACATTATTCTTCGTATACTTATCTCATGAATGCCAAGTTGATGTCCCTAGCCGTGGAGTCGGTCGCTCAAGATAGTCTCCGCGGCAGCGGTATTGACATCTACAAAGTATAAATGCATGTTAGCAGAAAGATCGGAGTGATGCATGAACTACACCTTTGGATGACAGCATGACAGAGTCATGAAATGAAATGACAGCGTTTGAAGGTAATAACAGGGTTGATGATTCAGATTCAAACTTTACATGTTCAACGGGCTTGTGCGGACGTGTCGATCACGGCGTGGTCCCATGGAGGTTGCGATTGCGAGTAGGAAAGTAACCGAGTCGGTGAGTTATATTTTGGTTTCGGCTTGATACATAACAAGGTTTATAACGGGAAAATACATGTAGAGCAGTAGGTTCAAAATGCTCTTGAACTAATATTAGCATAGACTGTGACACGCGAGAAAAAAAACATACGAAAGGTACTGACACAACAGACGTCCCGTCACGGTTCACCGGTCACCTGCAAGCTCTCGATCTGAAATCACAAGTAATGCGGGAGGTGGTCGAAATACAGCGAGCGACGAACCAGAAGCTGTAACGATAAAGACAACTTGGGAAGCAAAGAGCACGATGATCCCAATCAGGTTGCGGCTGACCCGGGCCGGCGAAAGCTGTGAAACCTTTTTAACTCTCCTACTAAGTAGTAGGCACGGGAAGCATGACTCTCCACTATGACAGTATTATTCTAGGCAGATGTGTACTGATAAATAAGTCTAGGTTAGATGACAGCATTAACAATTTGCAAAGAAATGGGACTTGCTGATATTGCAATACCATCGAACGCGTTGCATGAACTGAGTCACACTCCCCGCCCTGGGCTGGAGCACACATAGCCCAGTCTATCCTCCCTGTAGCAACACAGGCACCAGCGAGATCCTTCATTTCATAGAAGTCCGATCCGAAGAAACTGTTACCAAAATCCTATCGCCAACTAAGAACGATCTGTTCTTGAAGTCCAAAACCGAAGTTGCACGCCTCTGGGAAGTCGAATTCAAGCTCGATCACCTTGAGATCACATTCAATAATCTCCTCGACGCATGGAGAGTGACATGGATATCTTCTCGCTACAAAAGATACTGAATATACCAAGAGGTACCCGCTCGGGAAAAAATGTACATGAGGCCACCTTACATCGTTAAGACCCTCCCAGACCCTCCCCCCCTCCCGTGGGAATTTCCCACGCCCAGGGGTATACCAAATTTGGTAAGTTCTGCGGCACCAACAGCGGACGAGCAACGAACAATGTATTGCCAAACATCCTAGGCATCGTATATACGACTTTTAGATTGATAAAAACATTACTTTGTCTTCTTCTGAGAGCTGGTGTTGCTCCTGCACATATCACTGCAGAACCAATCTGCCTCTGGAGCATCAAGCAAACCAACACATTCAAAATGAAACTAGTATCAAAACGGAATCAGCCACGGTGATAGAAGCACATCGAAACAAGACAGGTACCCATTCATTACAGCTATCAAAACTGCATTGGACCATTTCTCCGGACTCTGGCCCTCGACACCAGCAAAATTCATCTTGGAATGGGTCATCAGGCTGAGTGTCTGCATCCGAGTCTGGAATGACACGATTCTTCACTTGAACCAAGCTGAGGCGTGCTGCTGAGGGACGAATCTTGATGGTGAGACGAGGTTTTGGTGCAGAAGGTACGTCTAGTGTCGTGGGCAGAAAGGAATTGGCCTCTCGGCAGATGGCAGAATGGCAGAACGGCAATTGGCAGAATGGCAAAAGTCGGCAAAATGTATTGTGAGCGTTTTTAGCTCTTTTCAACTATGTTTGTACTATGGCAAAAATGGTTTTGACTACTACACTAAGGCTATACCTGATGAGTCAAAAGTGCATCAATATCATACCCTGATGCACTCTCTGAGCTTCGATTGAGTACATTGATCTCTTCAACAAAGCCAGTTGGCACCGTGGATTCTGCCTGGGCCATCATTTTCTCACAGTTGGTCAGCCTCCAGCTGTGTCTCACGTGTTTGAACTTCTCAGATCAGTAATTGATTCTGGACCACAGTGTGAGATAATCCTGGTGATCAGAGTCTGCTGCAAGGGGAGGAATCCATGCAAACGACCTTTGAGTCGACTTGGAAATAAGTCGCAGAAGCGATAGATGGGGATAGATTTGATAGATTTCGGCCTTGATTGCCTTTTTTGTAGTGAGGTAGCCACACTGCACGAGCATGCCAGATTATGATATATTTTTCAGTCAATTAGATGTTTGTGCCGAGCAGCAGTTGCATGTGAAAAAGTAGTTATTTGAGTTGTTTTTGACCAAATTTTGACTTTCTCCCCAGTAACTACTAACAAAGTGGTCGGACACAAGTTTTTGGACAGAATGGCCCTTGGGCTTCTAGGCCACATGTCAAATTTTTATTGTTTTTAGTAGGAACAAATACTAGGTCATCGTATTTCTGCCGACTTCTGCCAACCACCCTTGACCTACTGCCGGCAATTGCCACTGGCAGAATGGCAGCATTCTGCCAACAACACTAGGTACGTCTTGACTATCACTCACATCAAATTATCGTCTGTCATCATGTTCTGCAATCTAAGACAATCTATATTTGATACAGTAATATACATTTGATGCTCAGACTGGTGTTTGAACCTAACAGGAGCTGTTTTGACACCCCCCAAGGTTACGCAAATAAGGACCTCTGGGGGACCCCCCCTCTCCCTGCCTTATGTTTGGCATTTCCCGAGCGGGTACCTCTTGGAATATACAGACGTGTGTTTTCGGGGTGGCAATCTTTGGATTAGTCTTGATTTGCTTGTTTGGGTTTGTTTGTTTTTGCTAATCAGAAAATGAACACAGGTGGGTAGTCTATTATGTAACGAGGCACGAGCGGAGGAATAGAGTTTTGTCTTCGAGCGAACGTCGGACGTGGCATCGCGCTTCTTGTCTCCGTGCCACAACATCCGTTCGCACTAAGAAGTATCATCGTGCTCGTTTTATTTCTACACATCTATTACCAGCATTAAGCACTCTCTATATCTATCTTAAGCCTACATGGCAAACCCATCTTTCGAAATATGTCCAGACTTCGATGGACCAGCGTACGCAAATATATGCGACGACATCCGGAGAGCCACCGGACAGACCCAAGAAGAAGTCATTGTTCGCCTAACCCAATCCTGGACCGACGGACACAACGAGAGAGTCGATGAGTGGAACCAAAATAGGGAGCAGGAAGCAGCCCAGGTTGCCGAAGCTGAACAAGCTCGAGCGGCCCAAGAGGAAGAAGTTCGCTTACAGCGGGAAGCTGAAGCAGAGAAAGAGAAAATTGAAGCAGAGAAAAAGAAACCGAAAATGAACGGTTTCAACGAAGCGTCTTCAGTAGGAGATTCCATTGCACCGCGCCCATCCCAATACGCGATTCAAAAACTCAATAATTTTGACTATGTAGAACTCTGGTATTTTTCCCCAGAAGGCTGCAAGGAAGCCCTTCGCACAGCTCGGTCTGTTGCAGATGACTTCGGCCTCACCAGGGTTGATGATCAACTGACAATACGCCCGGCATACGCCTTCAAAGCTTCAAAATCAGCCATTGCGGACCACGACCTCCCTTTCCCGACTTTCCTACGTGCAAAGAACCTTTTCTTAATGCAACTTAGCAAAGTGAAGTGGCCACAAAGCCACATCGACGCCCTATCTCTTTTCTTCTGGCACCTCAAGAACCACCCCATTCGCAACAACAGTGAAATCGGCGACATGGTTACTCTCCATTATGCCTTGCGTGTCCGCCAGGACTGGCATGACCGTCTCAAACACGACGAAGGCTTCAACATTGCCATCATCAATGAGACCCTTCTCCGTGCAATCAACGAGGAACTCTGGGATAAGATCCGTTCCAGAACATTATCTGCGGTACGTTTCCATTTAAACTTACTCACAACGTATCGCTCACAAAGTTTATCATATTATATATACTGCAAACTCCTCTTGCAAACACCAATGAATCCTTCCCGCACCCTTGCTCACGCAGATGCCCACATTTCCTTGTGGATGCCCACAATCCTATCTACGTGGATGCCCGTAACCCTGCTTACACGTATTGGCGCACATGACGTGCACGTGAGCGATACGAACACGGCTTGCGGAGTTGAGAGGTTGGAATACCAACCACGGACGACGTATATATATCTTACCAGTCATCGTTCCCCCCTTTCCCTCAGTCCGTTACATCTGACTGAGGGTAAGTCACTTGTTATCATCACGCCGTACCTAGATTACTCACGTATCACTCATAGAGACTGATACTGTCTAGGTACTTGCTAACTCAGTCCGTTACATCTGACTGAGGAGACTGATACTGTCTAGATTCACAGGTTATGAGCCCTGCTCACTCGTAAAGAAACGAGCGAGCGGAAACCCCTAGACAGCCTTGCTTCTTTAAGAAGAGACACGTCATAATCCTACACGCTCTTAGCACGCATCGCGCGTCGGCGATCCTCATCTTTCCCATTTGGGCGAGAAGCACGTCTAACATGACGCATGTACCCTCCCCTATTTATTTCTACATATATAAGGACGGACCTCTCGTGTTGACGCCCTCACGCTTCTCTCCCTAAAACTATCACCAATAATGTCAAGGGGCACTGGACTGAAACCCCATACTCGATCAAAAAGCTCTTCGATCAATACGCCAACCATGCCTACTACCTCTGTCACTGTTATTACTCTCAGTCAGACCGATCTCGAGAAGATCGAGATCCTGGACCGCGGCCAAAACAACTGGGGCGTTTGGTCTGATAAACTTCAAAACTACCTACTTCTCAAGCACGGTGGAGGCTACCTACTCGGCGTCATACCACGCCCGGACCCTGTCTCTGACCCCTCCGGCGCGGGCACTTGGGACCTCAACAACCTCTGCGTTATAGCCACTCTCCGTACTCGTTCTAGTTCAGAAGAACAAGAGTTTCTGCGCCCTTTCACCAACGCATTCTTAGCTTGGTCTGCGCTGAAGGCACGTCACGAGAAAGTTGGGCCAATTGCCCAGATTCTCCTTATTCAACAGGCTCTCGCCGTGCGATACTGCCGCTCCGAACGTCTGTCCTCCACCAGCACTCAAATCAGTGACCTTGTCAGACGCATATATGCGATCGGCCTACCAAAGGAAGATGATTTCCTTACCATCATGATGCTGAATGCCATGACCGACGACCTCCCTCATGTTCGCAATCACATCGCTGACGCCCTCTCTACCAGCACCTCTACCACCATCTATGGACCCTCCAACATTCGTTCTCGTCTCGACGTCGAACAACAACTCATCGACACCGAAAAACTGAAGGGATCCGGAGACATAGCTATGGTCACATCCAGCAAAGGTAACCGCCGCGACGCACGCCCGGGCAAGATCTGCTCAGAGTGCAACGTCGCTGGCCATTCCTTCTGCTGCACCACATGTGGGAGCTGGGGCCACCTTGCGAAGGACTGCTTCAGTAAGGGTGGTGCCATGGAGGGTAAGCGTGAGGAAGTCCTGGCACGCAAACGTGCTGCCCGCGACTCCGCTGCCACAAAGGGGGGGTCCTTCACTGCCAAAGCACCTACCAAGACTGCCGCTATGGGAAAGCCTGGTGGTTTGCGCTACGACCAGGGTGGGCGTGCTTACCTCCTTGACAGCGGCGGTGAGGCCATATATATGGCTGCTACACCTTCAGCCACGCCTCCCACTGCTCCTCCCACCACGCAGGAGTTTGCAGGACTCACATATGATCCTGTTCCCTCTGCATTCATTAGTGAACTTCCTGGCTCCGACGATGAAGAGTATAATGCCTTGCTTGCCGCTGTGGATGATCTGCAGACGAGTATCGACTGGCGCACTCACACTAAGACCGTCGATTTCGCCGGACTTACCTATAAAGCCCCCAACCAACGTCAGCGCACTGTCGTCGACCCCTCCATCATCCCATTCTTCCTTGACAGTGGCGCATCAGTGCACATTAGTAATGTCGAGTTGGACTTCTATTCCCTACGGCCAGTTCCCCCTCGTTCCGTTAATGGCGTTGGTGGGTCTTCCATCCAGGCCATTGGCATTGGCTCCATCCGCCTGATCATCGCGAAAGGCATCCACTTGACGCTCGACCATGTCTTGTTCATCCCCGCTGCGACTGTTCGCCTCATCTCCGTGTCTGCCATCTGTGCAGCTCATCGATGTGTCGCGTCCTTCGATGCTTCCTCTTGCTGGGTCCAGGCTCGCAATGGCACGCGCATGCTCACTGGCAACCTTACCTCCCGTCGTTTGTACGCCTTGTCCGGTGGACAACTATCAGCCGATCATGCTTATCTTGCGCAATGGCAACCCACCCTGCAATCCTGGCACCGCCGCCTTGGCCATGCTCATTACCGTGCAGTCTATGACCTTGCGCGCTCCGGCAATGCCACTGGTATGCCCATTGATCTCTCTACCCAACCACCCATTTGTGACGCTTGTGTTCTCGGCAAACAGACCAAGACTAGTGTTCCCAAAGTTCGGGTAGGGGATCGCGCAAGTAGGAGACTGGGTATTGTGCATGTCGACTTGATGGAACATCCAGACACTGTGTCTGCTGCAGGAAATAAGTACATAATGGACATCATTGATGATTTTTCTTCCTACTCCTGGGCTATCCCCCTTGCAGCTAAGAGTGATGCCTTTCCTTCCCTCCAAGCCTGGGAACGCGCTCGTGAACTCGAGACTGGACTGACAGTTGGCATTTATCGGTCCGACAACGGTGAACTCAAGTCTGAGTCCATGCGTGCGTGGCTGCTGACACGTGGTACTCAACACCAATTCACAGCACCATACACCTCCGCTCAAAATGGACGCGTTGAGCGTCTCCATCGAACTCTGATGGGTAAAGCACGTGCTATGCGTGCGACTTGTAATGTACCTCCGAACCGTTGGGATGAATTTGTTTTAACTGCCTGCTACCTGTCTAATCGCACGCCCGTCGTCTCACAGTCAGGCCATACTCCTTTTGAACGCTGGTTCACTCGTAAACCGGACTTATCCCATCTGCGCGAGATTGGCTGCCGCGCATTCGTCCTTGTTCAAAATCACCACAATCCCAAGATCTACAACAGGTCTGTCGAATGTGTCCTCATTGGTTACTCACTCGACTCCAAAGCATATCGCTGCTACCACCGCAAATCACATAAGGTGTTCATATCCTACCATGTTTCCTTCATTGAATCTCACCATGTCAGCGATATTCCCCTGCACCCGGGTGTTGTTCTAGGTGGATCCGAAGTCACTACTGATGACCCTACTCCCCCTGCTACCATCCCCTCCCATCGCACTACTGTAACAGAAGTTCGCGATGACGATGCACCTCCTGCGCCACGACCATCGGAGCCACCCACACCACGTCGATCATCTCGCACTTCTGTCCCGTCTGAATGTCTCTGTGCTGCCGGAGGAATCCCATACACTTCTGCTACCCAACGGGCCGTCCTGACTTCTATGTCGGCTGCTGATCGTCTTCGCTCCCTTAAGCCTATGCCCTCCAACCTACCTGATGAAGATGCGCTGGCCGCAATGGTCTCTGCGGAAGAGCTCGCACACCTTGCTGACATATTTGCTGCCATGCCTGACCACTTTGATAACGAACACCCAGATGACCCTTCGACCTACGCTGAAGCTATGGCATCTGTCGACGCCCCCCATTGGACGGTCGCACTGCAGGAGGAGTTTGCCTCCCTTCGCGAGTTAGGCGTCTACAAGCTTGTCCCACGCTCATCGGTTCCTACTGGTCGTAAAGTGATGAAGGGTCGTCCGGTCTTCAAATTGAAACGGGACCAGCATGGTAAACCGGCACATTTCAAAGCCTGGTATGTCTGTAAGGGGTATTCAGCCGTCTGGGGTCAAGATTACACCAAGACTTCAGCACCTACCGCCCGTCTCGAATCTTTCCGTGTCCTAGCGCATCTGGGTGCTGCTCTCGACTGGGAAATCGAGCAGCTTGATATCAAGACTGCGTTCCTCTACAGGCTACTCGACCCCGACGAAGTTTGCTACATGGAGCAACCAGAAGGTTTCGTCGAACTCGGAATGGAAGACCATGTGTGGGAGCTGCAACGTGGTTTATATGGGATGAAGCAAGGAGGCCTCGTCTGGAACCGCACTATGAATCAAGCCATGCTTGCCTGGGGATTCACGCGTCTTAAATGCGAACATTGCATCTACTATAGGCGTACTGATACAGGTATCATACTCGTTGCGATCCATGTTGACGACTTCTTCACCGTCGGTAGCTCTACGGCCGCCATATCTGCCTTCAAAGAGCAACTGCGCACGAAATGGACGGTTTCTGACTTGGGCGCTGCACGTTTTTGCTTGGGTATCGCAATCGATCGTGATCGCCCCACCCGCACTATTAGCCTGTCTCAAGGTGCTCTCATCGACCGCATCATCAAACAATTTGGACTTAAGGACACAGTACCGGTCTCTGTACCTATGGAACCCGGCTTACATCTCTCCCGACGTGACCATGCGCCATCCTCTGCAGAAGAACGTGAGCTTATGGCACGGACACCCTACCATTCTCTGGTTGGCTCTCTCATGTACTTAGCCATTGGCACACGACCCGACATCGCTTATGCCGTCCAGCAGCTTTGCAAATTCTTAGATAGCTACGGTCGTGTCCACTGGGAAGCTGCTAAACGAGTCGTCCGCTACCTCAAGGGCACTCGTGATGTGACTCTTGTTCTCGGTGGCGACCATACCGCTCGCCTCCTCGGCTATACTGACAGTGATCTCGCGAGTTGCGTCGACACACGCCGATCCGTCAGCGGTTACTGTTGCACGCTTGGCAGTGGAGTCATCACCTGGAGCGCCCGTCAACAAAAAACTGTTTCTTTATCCACGTGTGAAGCCGAATATGTCGCCGCATCAGAGGCTGCATCCGAACTGACGTGGCTGCGCTCCCTTCTTGGCGAACTCGAATTTACACAACTGTCTGCGACACCCCTTCTCTGCGACAACAACGGCAGTATCGTCTTGACCGAGGATTCATCATTTCATGCGCGCGTCAAACAAATCGATATCAAACATCACTCTATTCGTCAGAAAGTTGAAATGGGCCAGCTTAAACTTCACTACGTCAAGTCGAAAGAGAACCTGGCTGATATCTTCATGAAGGCGCTTCCCCGAAAAGACTTCGAACGTCTGCGCACCTATCTGGGCCTCCGTTGAATCAGTCAAGGAGGAGTGTCCACCATGTTCGCATCGAGGAGGACTGCACGTGAGCGATACGAACACGGCTTGCGGAGTTGAGAGGTTGG